GGGGGGGGGGGGGGGGGGGGGATCACATCCACAAAAGAAAATGGAGCAAAACCCGTGCGCTCGAAACAACAGCTGTAGTACTAAGCATACGAAGGCTACGAAGCCCCTCTCGGAAAGGAAAGAACGTCTCAGGCTGGAGAGAGAGAGAGACAGATAGACACAGAGAAAAGCCAGAGAGAGAGGAGAGAAGCGTGAGTTGAATCGAAGTCGCTACATGGATTTCTTCCTCACCTGCCTCCGCTGACACGAGATCTAAAATTCGTTATACTCTCTCAACGACAACGAAGGAGGCAAAACAAAGGAAGTACTGACGCAGGAGAAAGTGGGAGAGGAGGTGTGAAGAGAAGACACAAGTAAGAAGGGGCGAGAAAAAGGAAGGACTGGATACAGACAACAAACGGTACGGAAGGCATAAGGACGAAGAAAAGAACTCGCGTGCGAAGACACGCTCACCTCGTTGTCCTCCTCCCTCCCCTCCTGCACGTGGCGCATCGACCTGAAGAACTGCTCAAGTCCTAAACGCTACGCTGTTCCACAATTGTCCACCACTCTTCATTCCTCTCTGCACCCAACTCTCTCTCTCTCTCTCTCTCTCTCTCTCTCTCTCTCTCTCTCTCTCTCTCTCTCTGACCTTTCGTTGGTTGTCGCCATCTTTCTTTTTTCCTCTTTAGAACAAGCTCCATCTGTGCCGGCATCCAAAGGTCGTCTTCGATGACAGCMCCCCCCCCCCTCCCCCTCCAAGCGGAAGCCTTAGGGTTTAGGGTCTGCGTTCCATTTGCCACAGGTAGGGAATGGATCGTGTGCGTGTTGCGGGCGCGTACGGCTCCCCTCAGCTCCCTCTGCCTGGACGTCTAAACCCCACATACTCCTTCTGGCTGGACATCCAAACCCACCCCATTGGACCCATGTGCATCCCCAGAAAGCACAAGCCTGGTCCTCCATAGCCTGGACCGTAAAGCTTTTACCTTTCCTCCACGAACATTTTCTGTACCCATCGAAATACGATCTTGATTTGATCATCTGACCCTAACAGTTTAGAGAAGTGCCCCGTCACATGGCTTCCTCGGCCGCCGAGTGGCGTTTGTTTGGGGTCCAAGGACAGAAATAGCCGTTTTGTCCTTCGGGACATCTGTTAAACTTACAGAGAGAGAACATTAGCATGGCCCCTGCGCAAGGATGACACGCATAAATCGAGAAATAGCCGTTTTATGAAGCGCATCCGCCGGTTTGAATAGTACGTTCACGTGATGACTGACAGTAGATCATCTGCTCGGATCTCACGAAATCGGACGGATACGATAATAATGGACCTCGCTGCACTACTCTCGAAATGTGCAAAACGAGATTGAATCTTCCGCTAGAATACGGAAAGATATACCCCCATGATTTTTGCCTTTTGTGCATGTCGAGAGTAGTGGAGTGAGGCCCATTGTCTCTCGATATTGAGGGCACAATCACGCGAGGACTTTTTAGAGGCTACACGCATGTAGGGAACAGTCTACGGTAGGACACACTCACGCGAGGACTTTTTAGAGTGCGCTTGGGACGTAAATACGGTCAGATGCATCCTGGTTCGCTGCAACTGCAGTCAGATGCAACGAGGAAAGCCCAAGTGTCAGTATGCCATACGCTATTAGAAATAGAATTGCAAGCCGAAGCCAGCCAGCCCAGGTCGCGGCACGCCTGCGGCTGACCGGGGCAAGGTCCCACTTGCACGGATTTGGAGATTTCGGCCGTCGATCTTTGCTATGTACGGTCAGTATCTCTTAATTCGTGCGAGTGGGACCTAGCCCCAGGATGTACTGCCCCTTGATGGATGCACTGCCATTACCATAACGACCACAACAGTAAAATCGAACAAGTACTAGGTCCTGAAGAATGGTTTTTTTTTTTTTTTTCCGGGTTCGCAGCCCGATGGACCACGGATCGGATCAGAGCAGATACTACAAGACACTTGATCTTAGCCAAAAGGCCGAGAAAGGTTTTTATTTTATTTTTTCTCTTTATGAACCCACACTTTGGTTGCTCATTGGAGAAAGGGGGTGGCCAGCCCACATCAAGGCCAGGTCTGGTAGCTTTACCCAGTTTCGCTTTTGACGGTTAGAGAATGGTTCTGGATGGGACGCGTTTGGCTGCCACCAATGCCCTACACAGTGAAGAGGCCCGTGGTGCTTGTCCTACAGGGTGTGAGGTGAGCACCTCATTGTCAGAGGTGTTCCCATGTTATTGGGTTTGTGGAGGACAGAAATAGCCCCTTCAGAATCGCAAGGCAAGACCCGCCCGGCGCGAATGCGCACCTAACCTAGCCGATGCTACTGAATGGACATTGACTTACCGTGAGGGCACGGGTGCGCCGCCCGTAGTTTGTATCATGATATGCTTGATTGATAAAGGAGGCGTTATTGGTGAGGTTTAGAAGTAGGGTGATTGTTGCATGAAAAAAAAGGAGTATTTGTGTGTATGTGTCAGGTTTAGTGTGTGTGTGTTTGTGTGATACTTAGGGTGTTTGTGTTTATCACATCTGTTAGTGTTGGAGAGAGAGAGAGAGAGAGAGAGAGAGAGAGAGAGAGAGAGAGAGAGAGAGAGAGAGAGAGAGAGAG